AACTTCTTACAAGCAATATAGAAAAAATAAAAATCACCTTTCTTCTATCTTTAAGTATCATTAGGATGTAATTGTATCTCGAGTTAAAAGTGTGTAAAAATTGTCTTTTCAACGGGTCATATAGGACGTTAAGTAATAAGATTTTTTTTTTATGTTGATAGAAATAACCCCAGCATGCCTATTCCAGTTATAACAATAGCATAAAAAATAAATTGTCGTCTTAAATTATATTTCTTGATGCTTCGTAAGTTGTGTCTTCTAGTTTCCTTTAAATATGCCGGAAGCACTACGACAATAAAAGCGATTTACAACTGAAAAAATTAATGTTCATTGCATGTTCATCAAAGTCATTTTTTTTTCTGTTTTATTACTATTTTTAGTGACTTCACGGTTTAATTGTTGATTCTATGGAACATTGTTTTTGCTTATTTATTTCTCTCGGGCATATCAAACTTGATTTACAAAATCTAGAAACTAAACTTTTCGCGCAGAATGAAAACTAAAAAAGATTACTGAACCCGTTAGCAAACTGTAATCTCCGCAGTTATTTTAAGCACGTATGCTGATATTAAAAGCGAAAGAGATAAAAGCAAAAGACTGAAAATAATTCCTTTAAGTGCCACAGCCGTTGAGATAATCAAAAGTGACATCAATTCTTAAAGTGCATTACTATGCGAAACCTGTTAAAATTTACGTGTTTAAATTCTTTTTTTAAAAAAACGTAGTAATCCTTAAAACAAGGATTTTACAAACCTTTTCAAGATTAAAGGTCACATTTCCATAGTCACATTTTCTAGGCCATCGTCTATATTTGTCAGAAAAATGTGGAGGAAGCCACGTGTGGATTCATTTGTTTGTTAAGAGGATTCGTCGTAAGTCGAAAAGAACAGTTTCTGAATTTTCGTATTCAGTTCTAGATTGTTTGCTGCGACCTTTTGATGCAAACAACTCCATCAGAATCCTGTATCTGGGTTTTTAAAACTTTATTCAAATTGCCCTCGCAAAAAGAGTAAAGGTGATTTATAAAGCTTCGAAAATATATTTATGTTAAGTTGCCTTTCGACAGGAAAGAATGATTTAATTTTGTCTTTCTCTTATTAGCAAAATAAAAAAATTTAGTTCTTTTACTCCCATATATATATATAAAATTTAAGTATAAACTGAATTAGCATTTTATTGTGTTAAATACCATTTATTTTTATTTCAAAAATAACAGCAGTTATTTACTTATTCATTTATAAATATTTTGAAATCAATAAACCTTAGTGCCGGAATAGAAGGTCATATCGGCAAATTTTGTTTGGGCGCATTCGTCATACTTACGAAAATTCATCTTCTCATATTTTATTCAGAAAACGCAAATGAAATTATGAACAGCACGTCTTACTTTGTATAAATTTATTTTGAGTAATTAAATTGTTAGGCTTCGAGGAATGGAGTGCAATAAATAGCAGAGGAGGTAAGCCTTAATAAAATTAAAATAAAATGTAAAAAGAAAAAATAGTGCGTGGAGTCCCTCCGCGCGGAAGAAGTGAAACTTCGTAATGTGGAAATGAAAAGAGGAAGGGGTAGAAATTGATTTTTTGTGAAATCATATTGTTTCTTTAAGACAAACTTTATTAACGTTGCTTACAACCACCTATCTACATAACTTTATTTTAAAATGTAGCACAGAATTACATTACAACAATAATAATAAAAAAACAATTATCTTAGTTTTAAACTCTTGAATTAAAAGCGTAATAATAACGGTTCAGGAAAATAACATTAAATTAGGGATGCAAAAATATTTATAGAAAAACAATACTTTTATTAATTTTATGCTAGTGAGAACCAAAACAATATGGAAATGAATGAGGGAAAACTGGATCCTACCACGTGATTTTCCGCCCAATAAAAATGTAGCGTTAAATGTTTAACGCAACCTTGTTGGAAGTCGCATAAGAAGTTTCACTTCAAAAAAAGAATGAAGAACATCAAGGCATAATAACTGGGATCTAAAATAAAACTTAGGAGAAAAGAATTCGAAGCTAATTCGGAAGGAACTGCGTCAGAATTTTTGGGGAATTGAGGAGCGATAGCTATCAGAAAGCAGAATCTCCTTGTGATTATAAAAGAGAACATTAAGAATTTTGTGTTTTTATAAATTACGTATTCATTAACTTAGTGGGAGGTTCTTACAAAATCCCTTTGATGCTACGGGAAAATTTTTTTTAAATAATTCAAGCTGGGAATTATCTATAGTAATTTAAAAAAAAAATATTTATTTCATCTGTTTATATGCTGGCATTATTTCATTCATTCAATTATTATCAATAATTATGTATATTAATTTAAAAAAATTAGGCATAAAATCACGTTTACTCTATCCATATCTACTTAACTTATTACTTTACCTTTTAAATTCAGCAGATTAATATATTTTAAATAAGTTCAACAAACTTTTTATTTAAATTAATTAACTTTCGTTTTCTTTTTAATTATTAAAATCTTTAAAACTATTTTTAACAAATAAGGCAAAGAAACTGCAGCGGTAAGATATTACATGACTGAAAACTCCATTCACTTCAGAAATAAACGAATAAGAAATAACAGTCAAAATTTTTCAAACCCTTGGTAAGTCTTGAAAACGGGCGCCTATTTTTAATGCTCATGTCGACTGTTATTTCTTATTTGTTTATTACTTAAGTGAATGAAGTTTTCAATTAGGTAATACTGAAACTATAGTTTCATTTTAAAACATGATTCTCATGATACCTATTTTATTTCTGCCCGGAATTCGAAGAGATTTGCTGATTACTAAATTATTTGCTATTCGATCCATATAATAGTGAAAAATTATATCATCTTAGCTGCGAATTAATTTCTTTCTTTTTTTTTAGATTTATTTTTCAGGTAGTTCAATATTAATTTTATTTATTGACTAGAAAGAAAGTAAAGCATTCCCACAACAACCTTATGTGTTCCATGGGATTTATAGAGGTTGAGGTTTCGCAATGTAAGAAATGCTGATTGTGTCAATATGGTCAGCATTGCCCACAAACAGCTTTTACTTTCCAGACATAATGATACACATCGGTCTGAAGCTGAGTGGGCTTCAAGCCGCCACTGGAGATCGAACTCCAGTTCTTCACAACACGTCAAAGCCTTACCCATTGACCAATCGCAGCTCATTGGTTAGAATAATTCAGTATGAAGTCGATAAATCTGTAATATATTGTAGGAAAAGTTTAACATATTGTGAAAATATTAGCAACAAAATAAATTTTTTTAAACCAAGCTAACATTACCTACCTTTTAATGATTCATTCTATCAAAAGGAAAATTTCATTTGGCAAAATGGGAATTTCCCGCCTCCCAAAAATATAAGTTCGCGGTACTTCTGGTTACCGCGAGGTTAAACCAAGCTGCATTGCAGAAACGAAGTTTAAGGGAAAACGCGGTTCTAAATTTCAAAAGTGTTTTTAGTGAAAAGAAACCACGATTTCCATGCCGATAAAAAGATGCTACTGAATATTGCGCTATTATTAGAGGTGATTCGGAACCCTTATAATTTAACAATCTAAAAATTACACAGATTAATTGTTTAATGTAAAGATGTCACTTAGATTTAGATGGTCACTTTTTAGACCAAAGGTTCTAACCAATTCATTTGATACAAGAACGATAAGAGAAAGAGAAGAAAAAAAAAAACATCGAAAAAATATGTACCTTATGTATGTCCCTCGAGTATTTAAAGTGGTAGTAAATTTTACGCTTTACCATTTTATTTATGATTTAATAAATTTGATTAATAATGATTGGATTCTTAAACTTATTGGATTTGATTTTCAAACTAATTTCATTTTAGAAACTATATAGAACTCCAAACTGCATTAAACATAGTTTTCAAAGTTAGCATTGTGTTCGTGCCCACTGCGACACAAGCGCCATCTCTTAAGAGTTTTAAATATTTGAATCAGTGTTAAATGAGTTCCGCAATCAAGCGGATGTGTCTATACAATAGTGAAAATGTGTGTGTACTATAGTGTTAAATAAAATAATTAATGCGTACAATCCACTGTGAGAGTTATTGAAATACATCTGGTCCGTACTAACCGGACTGATTAGCGATCTATGGATAAAATTTGAGATGTGCAATTAATGTTCATTGTGCGTAAGCTACGAAGTAATCAAAGTGAAACTTTAAAATCAAAAGTGAAACTTTCCTGGATGAGCATCTAGTGTCGAAGTAGGTGCATGAACTTTCTGGTCATTTACTCCCACCAGTTAAATTTTGTATTTACCCATATGAGTTAAGTGATATATGTTAATTTTGTGATTGTATTTTCTTTGCAAAATGTTTAAAGGAGAGAAAAAAGTAGACTTACAACTTGCCGCTACTGAGTTAGGCGTGATAATAAGTGATAAAATGACAAATATAGATCTTACTAATCTTATAAAAAATACTGAGAGTTACAAAACAGATCCTAATATGGTAACTGATCTAATCGAGGGGATAATAGATGATAGGAAAACAGAATTGGAGGAACTTGAGAAAAGTAAACAACAATAGTTACAATTGGAACAAATAAAATTAGAGAGAGCAAAAGCAGAATTGGGATTGTAGCGCAAGCAGTCAGTTCAAAAAACTAATGATAATTATTCTGAAAACAAAGTTGAAAATTGCGAGTCTCTGGATTCGATTATAAAGACTATAAAAACTTTAACTATTAGAGTTCCGAGTCAGCCAGAAGGGTGGGGTTTATTTTTTGCTTCTTTGGAAAGGTCCTTTATAACAAAAAATGTACCCGATAAATTTGAGGCTGAAATTCTTTTGAACTAACTAGGCCTCCATGAAGGCAGATTTGTGACATGGAACCGGTGTTTGTTCTTCCCAAAAGTGAAGAACTGAGAACTGTGGTTGAGAACAGCGGCCTCTAGGCAAGAGAAATCAACCGCATTTTTAAAAAAAATTGTCGAGAATGCAAACATGCTTTGTCGTAGACAGAAATAAGCAAGCGGAAGCGTTGTCAGACAAATCAGCTGCGAAATTCGAACTTTTACTATTCACGTGTTATTTGTTAGATACGAATTGTTTTGTTCAATTTTAGTTCTATTTACCTGAAATAACTTACGTTTTTGAAAATTACTTTAAATTAATTGCATGAATTAAATGTCGTCCGTTCCGGATATGCCTACTTTGGGGCAAAACAAGAATGTTGCCCCCACAACCGATTCAGAAACTGAAGAATTTCGAAAATATTTAGAAAGCAGTGGAACTTTTGATGTTATTACTCGCATTTTGAAGGAGATGTATGAAAAAGAAGACAAACCAGCGGATCCTTTAGTCTATTTTACCAGAACTCTCGGAGCTGTAAGTTTTGAGGCCAGAGAAATCAATGCTTTAAAGGATGAAATTATTGATTTGAAATCTGTTATTGAGGAATTAGAAAGAGAAAACAAAATTTTGAGAGAAGCAGTAGATAAAAGCACTGCCTAAAATTTAGCTTTGATTGATAGACTTTTTAAACAATTGTGTAAAATGGTGAGAGTGAAATATAGGTATATAGTTTCGGAACTGGTGACTGATAAACATCAGCATTTAATAAAATTGCCTGTTAAAGAGAAAGACATTAAAAACACTGTACTTGATATGGTTAATGAAATTCATGGTGATTTTGGTGTATCTTGCATTCTTGCTGGCTTTTCTATTAAACTGTTTAATCCTGTCACAAGAATAGTTATTTTTAGAGCCCGTCGCCAACACCACAATATTTTATCTACTGCTTTGCCTTTAATTACTGCAGTTGGTAAAATGAAATTAATAATGAGAACTTTAAAACTCTCGGGAACTATTCGAAGTGCTTCAAAATTTATTATAGCTTATGATAATGCTAAACTTATTGACATGGTGCATCAGCTACAGATTGCTCCTAATATGGAAAAAGAACTGAAAGAGTTATTGGAAAATTGCCATCACAGACTAGCAAAAAAGAAACTAGATATGCATTAGTTACTTTAGTTTAGCAGAAAAGTGTTTTGATGTTTAATTATTGTGATAAAAAAAATGTGTTTATGTCTATCCTTAGGTGTTGAAAGATGGTTCGCAATACTTGTTTTCAGCAAATGTTTATCTTATTATTTATTCACGTTGATTTTGTCCGAAATTTTGACATTAATGGTTGTAATTTTTCAAGTAACTTATTGATTTATTTTATTAAAACTGTGTATCAGCTAATGATAAAAAATATTTTTTCTAGTTTTCTAAAGGAGTTCCTCTATACAGTTATATTTTAATTATTATATCCAGATTATGGATTAATAAAATTTTTTAAACTATCAATTTTGTTGCTAGTTTCATATATTCAATGATTGATGTAAATCATCATCATTGTATCAAAAATTATTAAAATTTTCATTTTATTATGAGTGCTGCTTCAAACCTGGTTACTTCTTTAGTTATTAGTCCTAGATATGGATTCAAATGTGACATTTTAAGTTTTTTATACTGTTTTTTGTTTTGTATGTTTGAAATAGCAGCAATATTTCCCTTCTTATAAGACTTTTTTTTTCCTATAAAACATGTGTACAAGGTTATAAATACAAGAGGCTACAAGATTTCCCCACTTCTAAATGATACTTTTATTTATTTTATTTTTCTTGTTAAATGTTGTTTTCATCTTTAATGGAAAAGATTTCGTACTGATACATCTTATTAACCTTTCCTATTAGTATTAGGAAGGTTATAAATTGTGAGCTATCTTGTGATAAATTACAAATGCTAAAAAAATTATTTGTTTTTATAAGATTCTTAATCGAAGTTATCTTTAATATAATTATATGAGACTATTTGTTCTTAAACATGTAATGAAATTATAAGTAATTTGTGTATTTAAAGTAATTCTGATACTTATTAATAAATGATTATGAAACTTTCAATCTTTTCTTTCACTTTTTAAATTAACTATTAGTACTTACGTACTGTAATGAAGCAATGTAAGATAAAATTAAAATCTTTCTACTGATCAAGCATTGCCTAAAATCATAAATAGCATCTTTACTGAAACTTAATTTGACTAGCAAAGCAACCAATGTTTAAATTGATGTATTTCCTCAAATTCAGCATTTTTTAAAAATTAAAATTCTGTTTATAATATTAAAATTTAAAGCTGTTGTTTATTTCCCCAGTAATTTTTTTTAAATTAATTTTTCAGTAAACTAAATACATTATTTTTTGTAATTTTGTTTAAACACAAAATTGCAGATATATTTTCAGGGGTCTGTCCAGGCCGAATTTACTACCGTTTAGCGGTACCTTCACAAATTCAACTTTAGGAAAAACGGTAGTTTCACAAAATACTTTTTCTTAAAATATCATTTTTGTATCCCTTAAGAAACGATAAATCCATATTTTTGTGTTGATTTCTTAATATAATTTTTAATTTTTCACAAATTACGTCTAAATTTTCACAAAATAGGTACCTGTCAGAAAACCCTAGACAGACCCCTGATTTTATCCTCTTTATATGAAAATGTAAATAAAATTTTTTAATCATTTATTTGTATACATATATAAATGTCTATATATGTACATATATATACGAGCATAAAATTATAATGGTTGATCTGCTTCTCAGTTCATTTTCATGTAGCTACTTTTTGTGCTGCAATTTTCTTTCCTGCACCTAGAATGATACATACACTGATTTCACGATAATTCTCAATTACTTTTAAAAAAATTACGAGTACAGTTTAAATTAAACTGTAACTAATTTTTATCTAAATAGTCTTTGATTGTAAAATACATTTTCTATCTCCAGGTAAAGCAATGTGACATGTAAATAGTTCATACAGCTAGCAGCAGTGTTGTGCAGGCCATTAGTTTTCTAAATTATTATTTTGTATGTGTGCATGGGATAAATTATAATAGTTTGGGCATGACACACAAATAGATAACCACTGAAATTGCTGCCTGTTCGAATATGCAATTGCGAGAATGAAAGGGAGTAAAAATTAAATTGTGATAAAAGATATTGTAAAGTACAAAATATTTTAAATTTAAATACAATTTTATGAGGATAAAGAAAGGAACAAATATAAAATAATCACCTTTAAAATAGTATGTTAATGTTTTCACTTCATTTCTGACTCATGTTTCTCTTGCATTTAATTTAATGTGTTGAAATTTAAATTATTACTAACCAGAGTATATCTTTTTATTACTTTATTTTTGCTAAGAGGGAAAGTATGGCATCTTTGTAAATATTTACAGAGATCTCCCGAATAATAAGAAAGGACAAGGTACTTTTTCAAAACTAGGGCACCTTCAGTTTTGAAGGGCACTAATCTTACAAAGTATATTTAAATAGATTAGTGCCTTTCAAAATAGAGTTTAAAATACTCAAATATGATAAGTAATATTTTATACATATTAACTTGACCTAAAAATAATTTGCAGTAGTTATGATAGTCTGAATAGCTTGTGTTCTGCCCCCTTTTCTTGGAATAAAAAAGCATATTTTTTTCTAAAAAAAAAGAGTAAGGAGAGTGTTTACCTCTATAATAAGTCAGGCAGGGTGGACCTCCTTTTTAAGAACACTTAGTGTGTGTACTAGTTATACACATGTGATGCTAAATATAACATGTGCAAATTATTTTTCTTCTGTGAAATTGGTGATTCATTGGCACAGGACCACTAAAATTTAACTTGGGGCAACATAATGCAGTGGTCCTTTAGATCATTCTGAAGGGTTTCAGTCTGTGTTTTAATCACACAATAACATATTTTGTCATAATTATATCATTATGAAATTCACTGTGTTATTTTTGTTTCAGTTCATTTCTATTAGCTTGAAAAAAAAACTCGGGTAAATGGATCAGTAAAAATGTGATTGGACTAGTAGATCAGCAACTTAATTTCTATCCCTGGAAGGCAATAATATTTATTTTGGGCTAACACATTATCTAATTTTTTGATTTAAATTATTAGACATAATTCATAAGTATTTGTATAGAAATTCATATCGTAGAGATTTATGTAGAAATTTTCAATAAAAGGTGAAAAGGTTCAGAACCTGATATTAAATGTTGTGGTAGCAATTTTAATTATTACTTTGAGCTTTTTATATTTTATTGAAAATATTTGTTTATTAGGATAATTAGTTATTTTTGTAATTAATTGGGTTTCTAAATATATGAAGCAGGTTTTTAACAATGTTTTCTATTTCTTACAATAGTAGGAAAATTTTAAAGTTTATGTTTAAAAATAAATAAAGAAAACTTTTCCATAGACATGAAGGGAAACAATGATCTGAGTTGTATCGTCAGGAAATCTGTTCCATTTCAAGGAAATTAATTCCATTTTGTTAGTGCAAAGTCATTGAAATTTAGAAATTTATATATGTAGGAACCATCTCCTTAAACTCTGTAAAGTATTCGCAATTGTCTCCTAATTTTTTCACAAAAATTCCTTTAAAAAAAGAATTATCGCATCACATTAAAAAGGCTTTTTTTTTAATATAAGTATTTCATTAAAAATAACATAGTATTTTAATTGTAGATTCCTAAGGGCATAAGTTTTAAAAAATGAAATAATTTTTTGATAAAATTTTCCTTTTATTGATTAATTTTATTAAAAATTTTGAAAATCTCTAAAAATGAGGAAGTAGTTAGGAAACTTTTAATATAAGAATGAATACAATATTAAAAATTGGTATTTATGTTGTGTCCTGTTGACCATTTTAGTTAATCTACCATCTGAAAATAAGTTTGGAAATGTTCAAATTTTTCCTCGTTTTTTCATCTAATAAATTATATTTGTATGTTGTCTATTTCTTTATGATCAATAACTATATAAAAATAAATTTGGAAGACACCAAAATAATTTAAGCACAGTGTGGGCGAAAAAATTAACAGAATAATATTAAGTACCTAAAAATGATAATGTGTAATTTGTGAACACAAAAGCCTCTTTAATTTTTATCTAGCAACTACGTGGGTGTCGGTATGAGGGTCCTTCTGACTAGTTAGAAATCAATATTTCAGGTAAAGAAAATTTTGATTTATCATAATAGATTTAAAGTTATCAAAGTAAGAACTAATACAAAAATAATTATCTTTTTGCAGATTTAAGAATTTTTTTTCTTCCTTCATATGAAATTTTGAGAGCTGTTGTGATTGTGAAATTTAATTTCTTCCTCCTCAAAAATGCGTCTCTGTGACCATGGCCAGCTACTCATATTGTCTAGATAATGGTATAGGTATATCACAAATATAGGTCGCAAGTTTATCACAAATCTTTGGCTATTAATGCATATGCAAAGATTAAAAGAAAATTGATATACGTTAAAAAACTAATAATATGTATGATGGAGTACTGATGTAGAAAATATTCTCTTAAGAGGATGCTAAACTATGGGAGTATCCTTTCATGGCAAATTCTCTTTTACCAAATCACCTACTTATTAAAGTTTAGAGAAACAGGAGTTCAGTAAAACAATGAAGTTTCAAATGCTGAGAATTTTCAAAATATAAATGTATATGGGATTGCATTGCGAAAGGGAAATAATCCTTTTACAGTATAATAATCCTGCATTATAATATTTGTAGGATATTTATAAAATTTGCAGGATAAAATTACCCTGCAATTTGATATTTTGGGGTCATTTTTTCCCCCATGAGTTTTTGAAACTTGGTGATGCCATCTAAAGTTATTTAAATCCACTCTTTCCTGAACTTGAATACCACTGAAGGTGAAACTGAATTTGCTTTGAAAAATTTCTCCTGAGGTATAAGTACCCCTATACATAAGTTTTCATAAATAATTCAAAAAATAATGCTTATGTAGCTGGAATTGAAATTTCGATTAATTGTTTTTAATTTTTTAAACTCTTAAATTAAGTTTTTTTTTTATCCAGGTCTATGAAATTTTTTTAAATGTCTTCTTAAATTATTTAACTAGGACCTTTTTATTTAATACATAATTTTTTTTAATTTTAGTGATTGATGCTTCTAGTAAAATACCTGAGGGCATATTATATGGAACATTATCTACATTTGGCTCTTATGATGAATGTGTTGCTATAAAAACACCAAAATCGAATATGCAAGTTTCTTACACTGGACAATATTGTTCAATTAACGTAGAACCTGTTTTGCCAGAAAATGATCGCCGTTTCACCATTCAAAAGGCTTTCCGGAAGTATCCGAAGTTGAAAAATGCTTTTCAGGTATGCATTGATTTTTTACTTACTCATTAAAATGAAGGACTATCTTGCTGAATTTTCTAATTTTGTGAGTTAAGGACTCTTTCTTCGTATTCAAGAATGATTTCAAATTTAAGGCTGGCTATATTTCACTTGTCTAAATAGCTAATGTCAAATGTTTGGTGAAGAGTTAGGATCTTTTTTTATCTGATTGTAATTTTTATCAGTTAGATAAACTTTAAGGGAATGATCAGAAAATTTCTATTTTTCAAATTAATATTTTTTCTTTAAAAAGGAAAGTAACAAATTATTGTAATATTTTCCTAGTAAATTTAAAAGTTCAATCCCAGCATTTTGGTTTATTTATTTATTTTTATTTTTTATACTGGTTGCTTTTGCATTTAATCCCATAAATATCTTTGATTGAGAAAAATGTGATTTTTAATTGAAATTTTTTATTAGATATTTAATGATATTAGTTGATATTTCTTTCCTTTCCTTACTACCTATTTCTTCATACACAAGAGAATAAATTGAATCAGTGTCTTAATTTGTTGGAAGAATGTGACACCAACAGTTTAATTAAATATGGTGGTAAATCGTGAGTAAATCATTTGCACTAATTGTTTATAGTTCACACACCATTTTTTTTACAATCAATTAAAATTTTTATTGAAACATTTTATTTTTTATAGGAAAAATTTCATTGAGACTTTATTTCATCTTTCAGTTTTTTGACTGGCTGTTGTTGGAATCTAAATGACATAATGTCTCTATGTCTGCAATATTGTCATTAATGAAATAATTTAGCTATTTTTTTATTTATCTTTTTTTTTACTTTTTGAAAATATATCCAAAGTGTTATTTTTAAAGTACATAAAAAAGCAGTAACAAAGTGATTGATGGCAATTTTCTTGGAGACTTAAAAGATTTGTGATTACTTAATTGTGCTTATCATTTAAAATTTTGTATTCAACAGAGAATAATATTAATTTAGCATAAACAGAGAAGCACCATTGTTCAAGTTTAGATACAGGTATTTTATGTTTTTAACTGAAATGTTTAAAATCTTCAAGATGATTGCTTTTAATGAAATAAATTCCTTGCCGTCATGAATAGCAATAATTTTTATTTTTAGATTTAGACATTTATGACAACCAGAATTTATTAATAATTTAAAACTTATATTTTGTGGAAGAAAATATCTATTACATATTAACACTATCATAACCATTAATTGTAGGACAATACTTAGTTTTACAAAGTGTTAGATAGAATGCTGGTGTAATTTCAGTCTTTCATTATTTTGTATTAGTAAGTTGATGAGTATATTCTAAGATAAACTTGAAGTTTTAAAACTTAAGCAAATAAAAATTTGGTATACATATTAATGAATAACTCGACCCTTTAATAGAAATATTCAGAAGGAAATTTAATACAAAATTTGATAACTTTATCTTACGTAATACATATTTTCTATCTTTAAGGTTGTACAATTTGCAGTTCTCAAATGGTCAATGTGTTAAATACATAGGTTCTAACCTAAAAGTAATATGACCAATATTGCTCTTCAAATTAATTTCACTAGTTTTTTGTAATAAAAATATATAGGTATTATTAATTATAGTCTTAAATTTCCAAGATGTAGATTATCAAATGTCATGACTTTTGAATTTTTTAAAAGAAAAAAAAAATTGTAGACCAAAATATATTTACAATGTATACAATTAAGGAATTTATTTTAAAATTTAAGTTATATGCAGTTTATATACTGCAACATATAAGAAAATTATTTTCCCACTGAGAATAGTTAAAAACTTACTGTAATTTATAAAGAATATAAAATGTGTAAATTGAAAGTTTTTTCTTTTACTTCAAAAATATTATAATATTTGGTTGCCATGTATACAATTTACTGTAATTTGGCTTTTCCTTTTTAAGACAAATTGAAATTGTTTACATTATACTAAAATAATTAAACCATTGTTGATAGATAGAAAAGCTAAATTCAATCTGACCCTTAAAAGATGATATTTTTGAAGCCCTCTTCTAGAGCAAGCTTTTTGCATCTATACTATTAGCATGAATTTTACGGTTTTGTTTTGGATTTGTTAAAATCATTTATATTTTCTCTTTCAATGTGTATGTAAGCTAGAAAAGCTAGTTTTAAAAATAGAAAAAAAAAATATTGCATTATATTTGATGCCATTAAGTAATAACTATAAAGTTTTTATTTTATTATTCATATTTTAGGAAATTAATATTGATGAAGAGACTATGGCTTACTATTATATAATGCATCACAGGTTGGGTTTCTGTTTACCATCCACATGTGACATTGATGATATTAGTAATGTAACAGAAAGTAGTAAGTATTAGCTTCTATTTTTATTTTTAATGTTGTCCTGTCTATTTTACCGTTTGTTTCCATGCATTCTTTATTATTTTTATTCTTTCAGTTGCTAAACGTCTGATGATGAAAATTTCAGTAGGGCATTGTGAAACATCTGAAAGACCTGGTCTCACAACAGGTCAAATAATTAGCATGTAAGATATTAATATTAACTGCAATCTGTTTCAATATTTTATTTTTATACTGTTTTATGTTATCATTTGCTGATATTGCTGTCACTGTGTTTCATTGTTTTTTTTTTTTATGTTGAGGTCAAAATATTGATTAAAAAAGGTACATTTATCTCAAGAGACCAAATACATTTAATGTAATATGCTAATGTAAGAGGATTATTGTATCAAGTAATTATTTTATTTTTATTATTATTTTTTGCATTAAAATAATATATATATATATTTGCTAAATCCTGTATTATTGAAATTAACTTATCACCAATATTTCACTATAAAAATAGTCCTTACCTAAATAAAAATATATATTCCAACTTTTTGTAGTCAGGGAAAAAAATTATGTTTTTTGGCATGTTAGTATTCAATACATTTTTCTTTTATTAGATTCTGGCAGTTAAATTGTTGATTTTTAAAATACATTTTGATGTTGCCCTCTTTACTGACTTAACTTTATTTGCCCAAATTTTTAATACAATATAACTATTTTAAATTAAGTAAACTGTAATTACTTAACAACTTTATATCTAAAGTGTCTTTTCATGAATTCACATTGTGGTTTAAAATAATTGCTTGAAACGTCAGTTTAAAATTGAAGTAGCTCAGAATTAAATTACATATATAATTATTCAATTTAGTTCTGATATTATATTATTTGCCCAACTTTATAATAGATTATAACTACTTTAAATTAAGTAAATGTTAATTTATGAAACATTTCTTTAGATCTAAGGAGTCTTTTTGAGAATTCACATTGTGGTTTAAAATAATTGCTTGAAACGTTAGTTTAAAACTGAAGTAACTCAGAACTAAATTGAATATATTTATAACTATTAATTATTGGGAAAAGTTGTACCTCTCTGACACTTCTACTTTCATGCTATGAAATCTTTCAATCTTATCCTTTTCAGTAGTGAGAATGATATCAGTTGTCAGAAATTAGACTATTTAGAAAAGTGCCTCTGATTCAGAAAGATTTGAATATTTTCCCATTTCATAGACTGTTCATTTCTAGCTGGAAGTTTTCACAATATTAATCCTTTCACTGTTTTGTATTGAACTTATTTTGCCATATGATCTAGTTCCTATCCTGTAAATTGTATAAATTTAATAAATTAGTTATTGAAAGTAGTTAGGCAGTTAAAGTTAATGGAACAAAATTTTATTCTAGTAACTGAAAAGAAAAAATTTAAATATAATTTCATATTTTGATCACAATGGTGTGATATTCAAGTATATAAATCATTATCCATCACTGTCAGATTATGTGCAATTGTGAAATTCAAATTATTTATAATCCCACAACTTTGAATGTTTGGAATTATTGTTAATTTTACTTTCAGGTTTGGAGTGATTGTAGCATTTGGAGTTGTGACACTAGCAACCTTTATGGACTTTTTCATTCAAGTTAGATTTGAACATGAAATGGATATTGATGAAATTGTTCGTAAAAAAAGTTTGTATCAACATATTTTTTCCTTAATTAAATATTGCTTATGTAGCTGATCATTAAAATATTAATCTTATATTACGGCAATTTAAAGCTGATCAACATATTACAGTTGAGTCTCGATTGTTCCAGTTTCCCATAAATCCATGCTTGTGGAAAAAAAGTCAGTCTTGCTCCCAAATAATGACCAACGTATACACGACATGTGGAACAATTACTATGATGGGGTTTTATGATGATTACTACGTCTGAATGTGGAAAAACGATATTGTGTGTTAAACACTGAAACATGTGAATAGTGCGTTAAAACTAAAAACATTAGACAGTTATTTTAAAGTATAATTAACCTAATGCAGTTATATAATGAATATTGTAACTTGGTTTAATGTAGTAAATGTACCCTGATGCTCTACTGTAAGTTAATTTTCTTTAAATATAATATATTTTTCAATTAAATACTGAAATTTTAAAAATGGCTTTGTTTCTATTTATTTAAATATTTATTCAAATTTAAGTTTGCGATAATTTGAGTTTTCAAAAGTTTGTGGCAGACTCCGTCTCGTCCATCTAAAATTATCGAGACTCTACTGTATATGAGTTTTCCGATCTTCTATTGACAGAGTCGTATTTTCATAGATAGAGTGGCAAATCATTAGTATGTTTTGTGTGGAGTACCAATTACTTTTTTGTAGTTTTTTACAGATCTTAGTTTCAATTGCACACATTTGTAAGGCTTTCGAAAGTTATGGTAAGTCTGGTATAAAGATTTTTAAATTGATTTTTGTTTTTAAATAAATAAAAAATCACATTTCTGTGTTTAGATTAACTTTTTATTTATTTTTAAAGAAGATAACTTCGCTTAACAATATATTGAAAGCTATATTTCAGATAACTTTATTAAACTTGATCTTTTATTTTTATAAAAGTCAACAATGAAGCTTATTTAATAGATTTTAAATTTAGTCAATATGCATTTATGGAATTAAGCCTGTTCCATTTTAATATTTTTCTATATTTTACTAGTTTTAATACTATAAAAAATTTTTTCCATTAATATTTAAAACTAGTTCAAACTAGCTCCTCAACTTTAAAAAATGCATACCCAGAAGAGAATCCCCAATTATTTGTGCATTAAAATAAAATGTATTCAGAGATAAGGGTAATAGCAATCATTATTATAAAATTTTAATGTGTAACTGACTTAAAGCATTCTACGTTACATTTCTAATAATTTCTTTTTACCATATGTAAGTATGTTTAGTTAATTATATGAATGCAATGTTTTTGGAAATAGTTTTATGTTTTGTTAATTATTAATTTTATTAAAAATTACCAAAAGAAATTTAAGATGGGTATATAATTTCAGTTAATATGTGTAGCTAATTTATTTGTATTTTTCAGATAGTGTAAGGCAGTTTGCTTATGCCTTTTCTGCATACCGAAACTCGTGCAGGATTTTGAATACTTCCATTCCGATGAATCATTTGTCTTCTTTGCATGGGATTAAATTCTTGAGTTTAACATGGATTATGCTGGGTCATGTGTATTATTGCTTAGATTATTTGACTTTAGGTAATATTTCTGAAATTTAAATGTGTACATAAATTTGATAGTTTACACAATGTGCAATGTATGTGTTTATAATTTGTTTCAAATATTTACAAAGTATTTATAAAGTGTCAATGCATAATGATTAATTTAATATATTTTAATTATTTTGGCAGTAGTAAATGCAATTAACAAAATTTATGTTAATATTTTAATCACTTTTATTCCAATTATTTTATTTGTGTGAAAATTTATATTTAATTATGCTTGATTTACTTGCATTATCTTGTGAATTTTTCTACTAATAATTTTTTATTAGAAGTAATGCAAAAAATATTTTCAGATGAAGCATTTGCTTCATTTTGTGTTGAAGATACTATTAATTCATTTTACATTTAATTCAAATAATTTTGTATTTGTGAGTGTTATCATTATTTTAAAATTAAGACAGATCTAATATTATCATAAACTTAATCTGCTAAATATTTTGTTTACATTTGATTTGATGTATTTTCAAATGTGGAAAAAAAAAGAGATACAAACATTATTACTAAGAAACTTTTTCTTTCAAAAATGCCTTTTAAATGATGGAAAAGTATCGAGTAAGGAAGATGTAGCTTAAATTCATTTTGTATGAAATTATTTTTACAACATAAATTGTTAATGCAAATTCAAATTTTTTTATTTTGAAGTATTACACTTTTTCTTCTAACTATTTTAAAATTGATTCAACAAATGCAAAATAATGCTTGTCACAAATAATGTTTAAAAACTTGTTCCAAAAATTAATCAAATAAAAAAATATTTTTCAGTGATAACATATTAAAATTATTGTAATTTTTACATTTCGTCAATATCACAGCATAAATTAATGATTACCTTGTTGTTTGTTATATTTTATGTATTTAAATGATCTCTGCTTCAGACTAATAATTTTTACTTAAAACTGGTTACATTTTTTAGATTTTGTAATGTTACTTTATTCAAATTGGTGAATAGTTTTTGATTAAAAGTTAAAACCAATTGATGAACTCGCACATTATGTTTTTAGGAACTGAATATATATATTTCAAATATCTATTTCAGTCATTCTGACTAGCAAAAACAGTCATAATGACACTTTTAACTGTCTTTTTCCACCTGTAACAAAAATTTGCTTTATCTGACTACTTACTATTAATCTGATTACTTAATTTTACTACAAAATTTAATTTTAGAAATCAGAGATGAATTTTATTATAAGCATAATTCTTTTTTTTTTCAAGTAAAAAAGTGTTTTTTTTTTTTGCATTTTTACTCTATTTGAAAAAGCATAAGTACACATTGTAAAATTGACAAGAGTGTGTTTTACTTCCATATTTTTCTCAATATTCTTTAATGTCTGTCTGTTAATAGCTGGGTTGCATAAAGCCCGAGATTTAGGATCTAATTTTGCTTTTCAAGTGGTGTTGAACTCAGCCTTTGCATCTGATTCATTTTTCTTTTTAAGGTAAGCTTTTAAACAATCACAAAATCCTTTTTTTTTTCTTATTTAATCTGCTTTGTTCAATGTAATGTTTCACATTTCACCATACTGCAGAAAATTCTAATGATTTTGCTTCTTCGAGTGTGGATAATACAAATTTTTTGCTTGGATCCTAGAGTTTTATATAAAAATATTTTAAAAAAATAGTAGGTAAATTGAATTTTATTTTGGATAATTCAAACTTTAGTTTACTTTCTCTAAAATTGTTATGGTTAAGATTGTTCCTACTATAAACTTTTCTGGAAAACCAGAATGAAGCTCCCTCCTTACTGCATTCACTATTAATTGAACAAACAAAACCTGTTACCCCTTTAAAAAGTTTTAGACTCTGCAATGTTGAAATGCATTATTTTCTAATTAAACAATATTCACTTGAATAATAGGTAGCGATTCATGACATATGAATCTCCGATTACCGCAAATGCAAATCTTTGGCTGGGGAATTTATTTCTCCACAGATTGAAAGGATAAAAGTTTTTTCTGTGGAATCGCAGCTATTTTTTTTGGTCTTATATTGTCATACACTTTTTGTGAATGATTTAATGTGGCTGTAACTTTAAGTTTTTGTTCTTGCGTTTTAGGTGTTGTTCCTATGCTCTCACTATGCTATTGCCATAAGCTAAAGCTTTATGTAAGTCATTAATAATAGCTAAGGGATGTCTAGGATGTGTTGCCTCCTTGATAAAGCTGAGCATATGTGAGTGTAAACGAATACAGTGGGAAAAATTATTTGTTGCTAATATCTGATTTAAAAATTTGCTCAACATCAGAAAATTGGAAGGAAAAAAAAAAGAAAACTAAAAAAAGTTTTTTTAAAAGCTGTTCATTTTTCTTTTTGATTTATTTTTTAATTTTAAATCTAACTTTGAAAGGAAAAATAACCTGTAATTAAATTACCCGTTTGTTATTTTGAGAAGAACCTATTAATAAAAAAAAAATTTCAATATGCAAACAGTTCCATATATTTGTATATCAAACTTAGTTTATTTAGTTATATAAGACTTTAAAAAGAAAAACATTGTATTTAGGCATTTAAGCCTTTAAAAATGTATTAAAATTTAGATATGAAAAATGAAATTTAAAATTCTCATAATGAATATTATTTCTTTGGGAATATTTTATTTAAAAAAATTTTTCTTCCTAATAGTGGTTTGCTTGTTGTGTACTCTACTTTTCAATATTTAGAAAGTAATGATGGGCATTTCTCAATTGTTGGCTTTTATATTAGAAGATACTGCCGGTAAGTTACTTTTTTCCAAGTTATTTAAGGTTATATTATTGAAATTTGTTTTTAAGTTATATAATTTTTCCTATCTTTAATTTAGGTTAACCCCTGCATTTATTATGATTTCTGGAGTAATTTTATTGGGTCCTCTAGTCGGAAGTGGACCTATTTGGAATGAAACTTTGGAGCCTTTTGTTACTGGTTGTCAAAACTATTGGTGGACAAATATTTTTTATTTCTCTAATTTTGTGCCAACTGCCAAAGCGGTAAAGTATTTTTTTAAGTGGTGAAGTATTTAAGAGTAGAAATAAGAATAACAAATGTACATAATTTACATATGGTATAATTTTCCATTAATTTTTCACTTTGAAAAATTATGTACTGGGTTGTTACTGTTGAAAATATTTGAGTATTTCTTGTTATTTTAGAGGTACTGTTGTAAATATGTCTGTGTACAAAGAATCGTGAATTTAGTTATAGTCATAAAAATGTAAAAAGTTTTAGTCGTCATACTAATCAACTTTAAAATAAAAATCTGGTTTACAAAAATTTTCATTGTTTAATTTTTAAAAGTTAATTGATGTTATTAATTTAAATACAAATACATATTTATTTAAAATGGGTAAAAAAGAAAATTTTAAATATTGACTTATGAAACTAAAAAAAAATGTACATTTAGTTGACTTTAAAGTATTAATTACATTTGTTGTCTTGATTGCATTTTTGTTTCATTAAATATTTTATATAGTATTGTGATTGTATTTTAGCTTAAAAACCACATTTTAAAGTTGTAGATTGTCAATGAAATGACTGAAGCTGTACTATAAGTGCACAAATTTTACCTAATTTTACCATCTTTTATACAAACTACGAAATGGTTAGAAATTTTTAAAAGCTTTTATAAAATAAAAAATTTAATAGTTTTTTCGTAGTTCATTATGGTGAATCGCCCCTTATGGTTCGTGTTATAATTAAAACGTTTAACGTCTCGTTTTATTTACTAAAAGATACATAAAACTTTTTCCAGGAGTTAAATGTTAAATAAAGTTTATTTTAAGAATTGATATTGTTCTGGAAATTACATCTGAATATTATTTAGTATGGAAGAGAAAGAAATATTAAAGTGTTAATTTCTATTATTTTGATTCTATGAATTTGTTTATTTTTTTATTTATTTTGTTTATGCGACCCATCTTTTATGATAATAATACTATACATACCCTCTTAAATGAATGATTTTGCTGTGAGAAAATCATGTAATTCTAAGAATTTCAGTTACATTTCCTATAAAATTTCACTGGTGCACTTTCTATTTGATTGTTTTGAATTCTACTACAATTATTTTTAAGATAAAAAAAAACATTTATGAAAGTTTAGGGAAATAAAATTTCCTGAAACTAGAACTACTGAAGTGACTGATATCCTGAACCGACTATTATAAGTACCCTGAAATTGAAAATCTAAAAATAATAAAAATAGTAATAATATGATTATAAAGAAGACTGTTTACAACCAGTTATCATAGTTAGCACCCATATTTATTTTTTTCTATTGAAATTATTCATAGTATTTTTAAAAAAAATTAATTTAGGGAATTTACATTTGAGAGAGTTCTCTGATTATTGGCTTAGTGTTTAGATAGTATTTAAATTCCAAATGAAACACTTTTTATTAGATATTAATAAGATAGAGATAGAAAGGCATTAATGTATGTCTTCAACCTCAGAGTGTTATATCCCAAGCCATCAGATGATTCAAGCTTATTTTTTCAACCTCAAAGCACAATATTACATGAAGAAAAAAATAACAAATTCTGCCATTTATACATATAGCATATAATTTTAACAGTTAAGTAAAAAAGAAAAGAAAAGAAAAACTTTTGGTAATCTGCTGAAAAACAAAATTGAGTTCGCAAGCAGCCCCTCAGACACGTTACAACAGAGCTGGGTTAAATGGACTCAAATAAATATGTTTATTTAAGAATAATGGTAATGATTTATTTTTAAATTTTTTTCTGACTTAAATTTTCAAGATAATATATATTTTTTAAACAGCATTGATAAATATTTTCATTTTTAGAACTGATTTAGGCATACTAGTTAAATCCTATTTCTGAAATAAAGTTGTATAAAAAGAAAAGGAGACAAATCCATGTTTTTGAGCTATGCACATGTTACAAAACTTAGCTATTTTATTTAAATCATGTATTATATATCAAAATTAGGAAGGTATAAAGAGAGCGATATTAAATATAGAAAAGTTTAATATTTTTCATTTTCAGTGTGTTCCACACGGATGGTTTTTATCCTGCGATATGCAATTTTTCATTATATCACCTATTATAATTTTAGCCTTATATCGGTAAGCATTCATATTTTTATTTTAAATTTGTTTGATTTTTTTTTGTTTGTATTATAATTAATGTTATTTTTTTTAGGCGCCCAAAAGTAGGATTGCTATTAATTGGCCTCGGCATAGTTATATCTATGCTTGCAACTGGATTTCTTACCTTCATGTACAATTTGCCACCAGTTTCCCTCTTTACATTGCCACATTCAAAGTAAGATACCCTAAATTTGTAAAAAATTTTGATTCAAAAAATGATGTCATTACTGTGTCATAGTATTACTACTTGTGAGCTATTTTTTAATAGAAAATAACTTTGTTCTTCAGTATATTGTATGGTAATGATAACTTTGTGCAGTTTTCTCTACTATGTATTAAATATTTAAATACTTAGTAATGCTCATATTTAGTCATTATATTATTCTTTGTGTAAATAGGAATTTTACTATGATAAAAAAGTTTTTTATAAAGTTTAATTCCTTTTTCTGCGATATAGCATTTACAAAATATGGTTCTTGTTGATTTATCACATTTTTTCTGCAAATAAAATTCTGTCAGTGCTGGCAGGAAAAAATTCTAAAATAATAAAATTAATGCATTATGAATTTATAATAAAATTTTTTTTAATCAAAATAAGTGAAAAAATCACAGGTATCTGTATTGCCTGAACGAAACGCTATTCATAAACAAACTTATATTCTTTATTAACTTACTATGGAATGTTTTTATAGTTGTTAGAACTATAGCAAACCATATTTCAATGCCTTTTCAATTTTGAGTTCACTTTTATCTATTAATTGATCCCTTTTTTTTTTACTTTCTTAATTTTGTTTACGCTTTTAAGAGTATCTATAAAATGAAATTAGGTTTTCATAAACTTCATATGAATAATTTTCCCCTAAAATTAGAGTTCTTCATAACGAATCAAGATTTCTTTCAGGCTGAAGTAAGAAAGTGATAAAATGAAAATATATAAATAAGCAAAATAAAATAGTTATAAGGCCACAGAGTAATTTCATAATAATAATTTCATAATAATATTTTCATAATAATAATTTCATAATAGTATTTCATAATAATAATTTCATAATAATAATTTCACTGAGACGATATGCATCCTCAAAGCCTCAGATTCTTGTATCTGCTATATACTGTGTATCCATGTGTATAAGTCGATTTTTCAAACTCCAAAATTTTTCAAAAAACAAGATGTCGACTTATACATTGGTAATAGAGTTGTACATTCTTTGATCGTAAATTATCGATGCATTATAAACAATTAGATAGATATGAATGAGTCAGTATCAATTTAGCTTTACAAATTGCTTTTTTCAAAAACTATTTTTAATATATTATATGCAATTTATTTTGCATTTTCCCACATTATATTTTCTTTGCATATAAAGATTTTTTTTAGTAGCAATAAGGAAAGCAGTAAAAAAATAGCAATAAAAAATAAAAATAAAATAATTTATTCAAGTGTATTTCAAAAAAGATATAACACTGAAAACTTCCAAAACATACCATAAAGTAGGGGTGCACAATCTTTTTGAGTGAAGGGCCACTTGCACAGCAGGTTGGCTAACGAAGGGCCGCACATGTATTTAGACATGTTAATGACAAATGTAGTAATGCTTATTTAGACATTCGCGCTCTATTTTTTATCAATAAACTTAGAAATNTATCCATGTGTATAAGTCGATTTTTCAAACTCCAAAATTTTTCAAAAAACAAGATGTCGACTTATACATTGGTAATAGAGTTGTACATTCTTTGATCGTAAATTATCGATGCATTATAAACAATTAGATAGATATGAATGAGTCAGTATCAATTTAGCTTTACAAATTGCTTTTTTCAAAAACTATTTTTAATATATTATATGCAATTTATTTTGCATTTTCCCACATTATATTTTCTTTGCATATAAAGATTTTTTTTAGTAGCAATAAGAAAAGCAGTAAAAAAATAGCAATAAAAAATAAAAATAAAATAATTTATTCAAGTGTATTTCCAAAAAGATATAACACTGAAAACTTCCAAAACAGCTACAAATTTAAATATTCCAGAACATCATCTGTGTCAAATTCAATAACGTTAGTAGTGCTGTCATACGATTAGTGACATAGTGCTATTTCATCTGTGAGTCATAGTGCTATTTAATCTAATTTTGAAACTAAGAATTTTTAAAAAAATTATAATCATTTTTCTAAAATAAAAGCTGACAATTATATGTGTAATTTATATTAGTTTTCATTTATTTACATTTTTTTTCTCTAGTGATATCAATGACTACCTGGACAATATGGGTTATAAACCATATGCACATTATGCTCCTTATTGTATAGGAATGGCTACAGGTTTTTTATTAGCTATTAAAGAAAAAATATCAATATCCAAGGTATGTATAGCTTAGTTTTTAAGCTGTTGCAAATTTTAGGGGGGGCGGGGAGAAAGTTGATTATTATTATTATGATTATTTTTTCATTATTAGGGTTTAATTTCAATTATTGCTAATGTCTAAAATCTGGGACTTTTATTCTTAATGCTACAGCAATAATATTTTGCAATAATTTTATCCAAAATTCTGAAAACATAATTAAAAATGCTTTATGAATTATCTATATCTTTCTTAAACTTATTATTTCATTTTTCTTTGTATACCTTGAAATTTAAATGTAAGTTTTTAGACATTGGAAAATTTATACATTTTACTCAACATAAAACTATCATAAATATTCGGTGATATAAAAAATAATTTTATTTTATAAATCAATAGTGAAAATCATACAATTTTCCCTATTCTAGGTTTTTCAATTTAAAAAAATATATGTTTTATATTCATTAGATTGTTTATATCCCATTTAAGTTGTGTCACTTGGCTATTGGCAATGTTTTTGGATCAAAATTTTCTCAGAGAAAAAAATTTTAGACAAAAGAAGAAAAAAAATTCTGTTAAAAATATTTGTGTAAAATCAGTCCTAGTGTCAAACTGAACTTTTTATTTAAAGAAACGATAAACAAGTTCTTAATGGCGAAAATAATGAGTGGAAAAAGCTTCTAATAAAGATTATTAAAATGAACTTGTAAACAGATTTTTTTAAAAAAAATTGATGCATACAAAGAAACCATGTTCTAGTTGCAAAAATTTGTTAAAAGTTTATAACTTTGCAGTGCATTCAAATGTTTGGATGGGGCTTTGTAACCACTACTTGCATGCTTGTGATCTATGGAACATGGAATTGGAATAGTGGTAATTTACCTGATTGGCCTGTTTCAGTAGCTTATGCAACTTCTTGCAGAACAGTTTGGGCATTGGGAATAGCTTGGTTAGTTGTAACATGCTATTCTGGATGTGGAGGTAAGAAAATAAATATTTTTTATTGGTTTAATAAATTTGGTAATAGGTTAAAAACATGTTTTAAAATTTGATTAATTAGAATTCCATGTGCAGCATGTACCATAATGTAAAACTTAGAGCTGTATAGTGATAAGCCACATTTTTTTTTCCATGGATGAAAATCATAATCTTTATAGGACCTTTTTCAGGAGGCAATAGCCTAATTAGACTCCCAAGGCAAACACAAAAACTTTCAATCCTTGAAAACTTGATACTTTTAATATGTAATGAAATATCATTTTAACTAGAGGGTATTATGGGGGCTCCTTATACTCAGGGGCTCGGGACACTTCCCAGTTTGTCCCAATGATTGCTACATCCCTGGCAAGAGCTATGGACATTGGTTCCTTTTCGAATTTCAAAGATGAAGATTCTTTTAGGTAGACAAATTTTTTGTGTTGGTTCTCTGTTTATACAATTAATTGCATTTCAATTAATCTGTATTGTCTTGTAAAGCATAATGAAATTATTTTTAGGTGCAATTAATGATGTACTTTCATGGAAAGGATTCATCCCCTTGAGTAGACTTTCTTATTTAGCATATCTGATCCATCCCTTATTGATGTATGTTTATGCTAGTTATGTAAGAGCACCATTTTACTTCAGTCAATATGTCGTGGTAAGTTCTTTTATAGGATTATACATATATATACTGTACATGTTATGGCAAAGTTCAAAGCATTGTGCAAAATGCCAAAAATAAGACTGACGAAATATAAAATCACTAAACATTTCACGCATGCATTGTATATTGTTATTATTTGCAAATATGCATATAATTTTGTGATTATTCTTTTCGGCAAAATATAAAATCATTAAACATTCACAGATGCATTGTATATTGTTACATATGCTTATAATTTTGTGAATATTATTTTTGTTAGAAGGTTATCAGACAAAGCCTAATTAAATAGTTTAGTTAGAAAGCTTGCAAGAAAGTTGTGTAATTTTATCGTAATTTGGAGAGGAAGTAACACCACGATTATTTTAACACTATTTTTGCTGACTTAGCTATTTGGTGACAAAATTATGGAAACTTCAAGTTTCAAAGTGATAGGACCAATATTTACAGAATTATACAAGAATTGTCTAGAATCATGTCAAAATTTCTAGTTTTTTTTTTTTTTTTTTTTTTTTTTTTTTTTTTTTTTTTTTGCTAATCCTATATTAGTAGGAATGTGCCATGTCAAAGTAGAAGTAATCTGCTTTTGACTCTAGTCGTGGGCTTCAGTTAGATTATTGACTTACCTGAGGTTGTAAAGCCTGTGTTTAGCTGTTCTAAAATTTTATTTGAATTGTAATGGAGTGCTATAGATAGTTCGACCTTCTGCTAATAAAGATTTGGAGTCTTGAAGACTGTTTCATGCACCTCCAACTGTAATGAGCCCCTGTGTTTGGTACAATATGAAGCATTTCTCAGGAATTGCATATAATGCTAAATGAGGAACCGGTGAAGTAATGAACCATTATAAGATTTATAAAAAAGTAATCATTTTGTGCATTAAATCATCTTTAGGTAAACAAGTTTTATAAATGAGTGCAATTAATTCTAGAGCTGTGGCGAAAAAATGCAATAAGTAAAATTAATGAGAAGACTAAAATATTGCAGATGCATTCACATTAGTAAATTTGTAATGTAATTAACAAATTTTTATTTGGATGTGATAAAATTATATAATTTATTCTTCAAAAGTTTTTAACTTAACTTTACTAATTTATAGGTCTACCTATATTTGGGGCACATCTGTGTGACTTTTGGTTTGGCATTCATCTTTTCATTGGCATTTGAGTTACCTTTCTTGAATCTGGAAAAGCTTGTCACAAAACGCTTAGACCAAAACAAAAGAAAAAGAAGAGCTTCTTTCACCCATTTCCATTTCAACTGGCAACATCCAGAACACCCTGAATTAAAAGATTCAGTTGTGCTCATGCGCAGAAGAACTGACAGGTTTTTAACATAAAATACCATTCCTACTTTCAACAGTATAAATTAACTGCTACTGGGTAGTAACCCACAGGTTTTCACTCATATTTCATCTTCAGGAGGTTACTTCTGAGCATTTTTTTTAATGCTGTCAAAATGAAAATTCCTTGCAGAGAAAAAATTTTAATTTTATTACTCAACATCTCCATGAATGAGTTTAAATGTACACTGAGCGGCAACTTAATTATGACTGCTGTCCCTCAATATCTCTGTTATTCACATTTTACCTGTAATTATAGCCTTGAATTTTGTTGGCACAATTGCTTTGAGAGGTTGGCAGATTGTTTTTGGCATCTGAGACCGAACTAGAAGAATAGAATTTTGCAATCGTGTGAAGCTGGATAGTAGAGGATTGAGATGATGGATGATTCTTTCAATTGTATCTCTCAAATGTCCAATAGGATAAAGATATGGGGATTGTATGACTATAAAAAAAAGCCTCCATATACTGATCTTTTATAATTACAGCAATATGGGAAAACACATTGTCTTGTTCAAAAAAGTACCCCCCGAGATAAGGATCAATCATTAGTATTGCAGATTGTACTTGGTTAGTAACAATGTTTAGATTATCTTTCTCTATCTTTACTTTATCCCACAAATACCTAATGGGATAGAGATTTTGGGATTGTAGGAGTCAATGCAATAAAAATAAAGCCTCCTTGTTCTTTATACCTATTTTTTATGATTACAGCAATATGGTCAGACACATTATCTTGTAACCCTTTGAGATAATGATAAATCATTAGTATTGCAGGTTGTACATGATTAGTAACGATGTTTAGATATATCTTCCTCTACTACCACACCACTAAAATAAGTTTTTTAAGCATAATATACTACACCAATCGTTAGTTGTTTTCGTCTTATGGCCCTTGTCAATACTAGCAAGCCTATTTTAAGGTAAGAGGGGTGCGCTTCTTTTTGTTTTTCAATGGCGCCATCTATGGCCAAGAATTTGTCTTCTGCCACAGGCGTTCGTTACATCATGTTTTACAGGAAGGACACATTCAGATTGTAATTTTTGACCTGAACCAGAGCATGATCAATTCCTAATCCCCAGAAGTATTGATTTGTTACAAGAAGTTGGAGGACCTGGTGATCCCAACAGATTTAGCGTGCACCAGTCACCATATTGTACATGGGGAATCTTTGGCCGACAGGGATCAAACCCACAACCTCTTGGACATGGGCCCAACGCCAGGCAATTCCTGCCCACACCAATCTTTTAGCAGCAACATTAAGATGCAATAGTTCATTTGCATGAGAGGGTCAGGCTATTAAATATCATAATAAAGGGACGCTCAATGTAAAGTATTTAGAATCTTAGTTATCAGAGGGTTCAAGCCTTTTTCCAAATAATCTTTACAAAAAGTACAATTTGTTAATTGCCTTAATTGTAAAAGTATATTACGATGTATTTTGATGTAACTAGATTTTCAAGGACTGTTTTCAAAAATACTTTTGAATTTATTCAATGGCAAGAATGAAAAAATATATGTTCATCATAGTAGATTTTATTGGAGATTTCTATGGTGGTAAACATTGCATTTATTATGTATTGGTGCAAAAATACAAAGATATGTTGGTAGTTAAGAAAGATAAGGTATTTTAAGATTTTTATCTACAGTAAATGATTTCAATAATTAAGATTATCATATATTTATTGCTTATTTGAAAAATATTTCTTTGAAAATTCTATTACCCATAAGAAGTTTTGAAGATATCATTACATCTATATAAATACTATGTAGTTTTTTGTTAATTGTATTATATTTAAATAGTTTGAGACACAAATTTTCACATGATCTAAGAATTGTAATTGTTTTTCAATTTATAACTACTCTTGTTTGTCTTGTTAAGATCTGTTTGGTAGAAAACGTTGAAGTTGTTGTATATTAAGTAAATTGTACCTCATACTTTAAAAAATATATTTTATAAAGCAAAAAGAAGAAGAAAACAATTTTCTGTTTAACATAGGATTGAATTGGAGTGTTTGTCCAAATTAAATTTCTGTGATATAAATCTGTACTTTTTATTAAAAAAAGTTTACATTGCCATTTTCATTAACCTTTTGATTATATTCAAAAGATGATTTAATTTCATTATTGTAGGTCATCACACATCTTTGTTTGTATAGAAAAGTTCATCTATTATGTAAAATATTATTTTTTGTACATAAATAAAAACATTTCTTATTCAAAACAGTTTCATTTGTTTGAAGGGTTACAAGAATTTATACTTGCTTAATTTACAAAAAGCATAAATGAACATACACTTTTTCTTATTTGCAATCAGAAAATTAAATTTTAGTTAAACTTTGAAAGAAATAATTTCATAAATCATAACTTGCTGAGTTTCTTTCAGAGCTGTGGTGCTGGTAGTTGAAATTTTATTTTCAGAGAGCTTAACTCCATGTTATATTTGTTTAAAATTTTCACAATAGAAGAAAAAAAAATTTAAAAGTATAATTGAACAAAATATTGAAATTGTGCAAAACATAAGAAGCTTCTTCTTCATAAGCGCAACAGCCTTTCATAGGCCAAGGCTGACTCGCAGATTTTCCTCCATCTGGCCCTGTCCGGTGCAGCGGCCCACCATCGGTTGACTCCCGATAGCTTGAGGTCCTTTTCAACGTCGTCTATCCATCTTGTAGGTGGTCGTCCCCTACGTCTCGTCCCTTCAATTGTGGAAAAAGTCACTTTTTTGGCAGGGACGGCATCAGAATTTCTGAAGAGGTGGCCCAGCCACCTAATGCGTGATGCTTTAATAGTTCTCACAATGTCGGTCCCACCGAATTTGTCATATTTTTTGTAAATTTCGTGGTTGTAAAGAATTCTCCTTACGTTATTCTCTTGAAGAGATCCAAAGATTTTCCTCAAAATTTTTCTTTCAAAAATTAGCAGTTTTTTCTCCTCTGTTTTGTTTAGGGTTCAGCACTCACTTCCATACGTAACTATAGGCCTGATTAAAGTTTTGTAAATGTTTAACTTTGTCTTCACACTGATGAACTTGGATTTGAGTTGGTTTCTGAGGCCCTAGAAACTTCTGTTAGCCTTGAAAATTCTGTTATTTATTTCGATTTTCAGGTTGTTGTGGCTAGACATCAAGGTTCCTAAGTACTTGAACTGGTTAACGTTTCAAAAGATTAAGTCATTATCTCCAGAGGGGATCGATCAGGAGTTTTATTTGTTGCGATCAAAAACTTGGTTTTGTCTGCATTTATAACTAGTCCCATCTCCTTCGCCGCACTCTCAAGCGCTACAAAAGCGTCAATGACTGAGCGTTTTGTTCTTCCAACTATGTCGATATCATCAGCAAAAGCGAGTAGTTGGACAGTTCTTTGTAAGATTGTTCCATTTGTGTTGATACCAGAGTCTCTAATGGCCTTTTCCAAAGCTATGTTAAATAGCAGGCAAGAAAGGGAATCACCCTGTCTGAGGCCTTTTTCGGTGAAAAATGGTTCAGAGAGACTTGACGAGATTTTTATTCTGCACGAAACTCTTTTGAGTGTCATTCTTGTGAGGCTGATTAGCTTCTTTGGGATGTTAAACTCCAACATAGCCTCAAGTAGTTTTCCTCGGTTGATGCTGTCGTAGGCAGCTTTAAAGTCAATAAATAAGTGGTATGTGTTGATGTTATACTCTTTGGTTTTCTCCAAGATCTGCCTGATAGTATGCAATTGGTCAGTCGTTGTTTTTCCTTTCTGGAATCCGCATTGGTTATTTCCAATGATTCCCGAGGTGTAGGTCTCCAATCGCTTGCATAAAATAATAGAGAAGATCTTGTACGCAATATTTAGAAGGGTAATTCCCCTGTAGTTTTCACATTCGAGTTTATCACTTTTCTTGTATATAGGGCAAATAGATCCTTCATCCCACTCAACATTAGAAGCTAGATCAATCAATATATCACATGCACACTGATAAATATAAATATCTTAATAACAACAAGATTTGGTGAATATTCATGAAGTAGCAAACTACTACACGTGATACATATATTCATTTGCACATTTTTTAACTGAATTTTAACTTTAGCTAAACAAACTTGATTTTGGAACTTATTAAATCTAAATATAACTTAATAATTTATTATTTTAATAGTAATTCAATCAATAAATTCTAGGATCGAAAATTTTCAAATCTGATAAATTAAGTCTGAGATAAGTTATAATATTTGAGTTTTTTTTCTTCACATAATTATAAATATTGGTCTAAATAATTTTCATAATATCAAAAACCTCTTTTCTTCTTTAACTCTAAGCACATAACTTTTAACCCTTTGCACTCGAGAAGTGACTGTCAGTCACCACTGTCACCTGTAAATTACCCACCACTCTAATTGTGAAACTTTTTTCACCTTAATGTTTAGTTACCATTTCATTCAGTGATCTCTTTGTATTATAAGGTAAGTTTGTAAAAAAATCTTTCAAAATGTTAGTGATTGCATCCATTTTTTTAACAGCTGAAAGAACTTCGAGTGCAAAGGGTTAACTTAAGAACACGATAATGTGGAATCCTGGTTTCTTTGATGTTAGAGAAAGTTAAAAATGTCATTTTTTTGTTCCAAAATTAAGAGGGGACATATATCTTTTGAACTTGTACAAAACAACAAATATAAAATAATATTTTTTTTTTTTACAGCAATATCAAAATTTGTTACTTAAACATTCGAATTAAAAAATTGTTTTTTTATATTTTAGAAACCATTTAACCTATTTTGTTCAAATTTAAGAATCCTTCTTTAAAGATTTTGAAGTTAAAAAGAATCTAAAAACACAACAAAAGTTTTGTTTCACAAAAAATTCAATGTTATTATACACGTCCGGAATTACTAATGAAAAAAAAAAGAAAAAAACAGAAGACATTCTTACTTTTAATTTTAACAGCGAGAATAGTTATGAACTTTTAACATTTATCTTTCTGTAAAATCTAAAGTTTGAATGAAATAATAATTTAAAAGTTTACCATAAATTAAAACAAATTACATTGTTTCTAATCCTTCACAGTATAGCCTCAGTTATATCAAATCCACAAGTCCAAACGCTCTGGCAAAGTCACGCATCAAAGTCAGTCGCAAAAGAATGTACTCCAAGGAAAAATTCCAGACAATCAAGGATGTGTTCGGGGAAGCAGGTTTCAATTTGCAAGAAGAAAAAAAAAATTATTGTTTAATTTTTATATCTCAAAAACTATTTAACAAATTGTATTCCAATTTAAAATTTTGTTAAGCGAGAGGATCTGAAAATATGAGAGAGTTCAGCCTCACTCACATAATAAAAATTAAAGGCAAATTGAATAATAACAATAGGTATTCATATTTTAAATTTCTCAGAAAGGAAGATTGTAAGGTATACCCAAGATGTCCTCAATTCTTCTCACAAATAAACTGGTTAGTTTGTTTTTCTAAATGAAATTAGTAAATTGTTTGTCTGTGAATCACAAATAATATCCTATTTTTCCATATGATAATAAAAATCTTGGAATAAATTGAACCATCAATCTTGATTTCATTTAAGAGACAAAAAACAAACTAATTAAAACAAATAGCTTGTAAAATGTTAGGCCATTAAATTAGTATAATTTTTATAAAATAGGTAACAGCTAGGGATGTTACAAATTAATGGCGATAATTGCTCTTTTGAAACACATTATAAAATATATTGCAAAATCAAGACTGAGATAAACCATTCACAAAATAATTAAAGTTCTTAAGTAATATTTGACTGATTAATTTTCTATTAATATTTAGTAACTCATGTTTTTCCTAAGTAATCTTAAATAACAAAGCTAAATAATAAAAAAAAAGGCCCAGAAAAAAGAAAACATTATAGGCCAAGACATATTTGTGCTAAAAAAATGTCTACCATCGACTAGTATAGACCAAACCCCACTAAAGATCAACTTACGTTTTTTTTCTTTCTGTATTATTGTACCAGTGTATGATAATGGCTTGTATTTTAAATCAATAATTTGTTTATTTTTCTAAAAGCAAACTAAACAATATCTTTCTCTATTTTATGAATTTAATTTTTACAGCAAGCGAGTGAAATCACTGATAAAACCAGTAGCTTTTTCCCTAAACCATTCATTTCTTTATTTTTCCTTTCAACTTTATTTTTTGTCCTAGTGCTATAAATTTCTTTTCTTTTTTTAAAAAAAATCGTAATTTAACTTTGGATAGCATTTTAAAACCTGGCTGGAAAAAAACCAGATCAAAAAATCAGATCATATTTATATTCCAAAATGGTACCAAATTTTTTTTACTGTTTCTAGGGCAAGGCGCTTCTAAACAAGCAAATTATGTTCAATCAATCCCATTCTCTCATTGCAATGTTACATTACTTGATCATTTAGCAATAAATATAAAAAATAATGCTTTTAAAATTTATTTTATTTTTAACTGAAAATTATTGTTGCATTTTTAAGGAAATAAAAGAAATTTAATTTAAAAAAACAATTGGAAGAGAGATATTAATTGGCAGAATTTCCATTGAATTTTTTCTCAAAACTGATTTCATACCCCAGGACTGAAGAGTGGCATCCATTCAACATACTATCTTAATACAGTCAAACCTCGCTACTAATAATGTCAACTACTTTAATTCAATTCCTATTAAACAAGTCATCTGGTTCCTAACAGGTCACGGCCCTTTTCCTTCTTTCTTTCATTACCTTCATATCTCGGATACAAACCTTTGTACCTGTGGTCAACCAGGTACACCAGAGCATTACTTATCGACTTGTCTTTACACAATATCATGGCATGCACGACTTTCAAACATTAATAATTTACATATTTGGCAAAAAAATTTTCTTACAAATAAAACATTAAACTCTAAATTAATTAACATAATGAATTTTCTAGC